AAAACGAAGTGACCGTAAGTATATCTTTGTGAAAAGTATAAAAAGGGAAATACTCATAAAAAGAGACACAATATTTCCGACGTGTATATATCTGCCCAAGAGTCCATATATAATGAAGAATAATTTTTGTCGAAACAATGCTCTCGAATCTTTTTTCAAATTTGAAAAATGTCAAACAGTTTTTGAAATAATTGCAAAAGACCAAACTCAATTTTGCTAGTTAATTGTTTATAACTTCTGCCATTTTCACAAGTTGTTTCAGAATTTTTCAAAAAATCATCTGCACACTTTTTCGGCACCTCGATCATATTTTTCAGATGCGGAGAAAAAAGTGTGACCTGCACTAGGCTATATCTACTTCTAAAATCAGGGACTCGACTGTATAGTTTAATGTTTTCCAGTTTTTTTTGTGATGTGTGCTATTTGCATCAGGCACTTATTCCTCCATAGAAACCACTTTTGTCTCATAAAATTCTGGGCGAAGTCATCATATTTTCTAATTTGAACTTGTTTCCGTGGTTGCTCTAAAGGAATATCAAAATTACTACGGAATTTTCGGTTGGTAATATTTTCATTCGTGAACTCTTTTCAAAATCCAAAATTATATGTACAAATTGTAACAATACGTCAGAATACATCTACGCGTCTTTGTTTGCAAATGGTCTAACAATAATTTACTTTCGTCAGTACCCGGCTGGTGGTTCCGTTATTCAGGTTGGAATTGTCAATTTGGTGTATCTCTGAAAACAATTTACGGTTAAATATACTTACTTCTCTCTTATCCAGTAAAATTTCAGCCCGTTTCCAACTGATTTACTCAGCAAGGCAAGCATAAAGCGCGGGTCAGTCCAATAAATTATTGAGAAGATAGAACAACAAAAGGGCGATGGAAGCAGGAACGTTCTCCAGGGATTCCGGACACTGAAAGCTAATGTTCTAGGGTCAACTGTTGGGGTCTTGAAATTAATATACGCCCGGATCGAGGAATGTCGTACATCTGATCTAATTGCGAGTACTTCATTCCTTCGCCGTATTATTTGTCTACGGATGATTGATTCTGCTAATTGGCGAAACTGATGAAATGATACGAATATTCATATACTACTTTGGTTAGTATTACACAGGCATTCATTAATATATTGGTATTGGATGAATAAAAGAGAAATACCATAATAACCGTCTGCGTGTACATGGATTATTTGATCAATTTATTCTGTAGTTTTATATGTATATAAGTACATATATCCTTTGTTTCTTGCTACTCTCTATTATCTATACATCTGACTTCTCCAATGTTCTTGAATTCTTCAAAATTTCTACATATGCAGACGACACTAACTTGTATCTACCTTGAAACAACTAGTTGCTCGGTTTAATGAAAGTCGTCTGTATTTCAACGCTGAAAAAACAAATTTAATACTGTTCCCCCCGCCAAAGAAGGAACATGAAAATTTAGATATAATCCTGAGTAACACCCAGTTATCCGTCCTTGAACACTGTAAATTTCTCGGTATTTTCATTGACTCCCGCTTGGACTGGAAAGAACACTGTCAGTTTTTGTGCTCTAAGCCCTCATCGATCTACTATATGTTTAGAAATCTTAAACACGTATTGACTCCACAGCAACTGATAATTTTATATTATGCACAAGTGGAAGGCCGGCTCAGGTATGGAACGTGTTTGTGGGGAGACTCTTCTCACT